CAGAGCCAGAGTGGCAGATGTGAGATCTTCTGCCATGTGAGATCAATAAAGTTAAATAAAAACATTTTTTTTTCTTCTTCAAAAAGTTTTTAATTTAAATGTAACTATAAGCACTGCAGGAGTAGTCCGAGACAATTTTTAATCCTAAGACAAACTAAATAGTTTGTTGAGAAAGGGTGCCCCCTTGGAAGTATGGAATGCATCGCACCCCCTTCCCCATCTATTTAATGTGTTTCTGCAGCTGAGGTTGGATCACCAGAAAGTCACAAATTAACACTGAATGGGGCTGTTAAGCTCTGCCTGTAAACCAAAACATAAATGATGCCTCTCTACCTCCACTTCAGCTGCAAACCCTGCCTTGAACTAAATATTACCAATTATGCTTTTGATATTCTTAGAATTTTTCATCTTTTTTTTTTATTTTAGCCAGATCCTACACCGTAGCTAAATGGTCTGAATATGTTTCTTCCTTCCCTGCTGCAGACTTTTCCATGGTGTTGACGTGGATGATGATGAATTTTGGAGCGATGAAGAGGACTGACATCAGCAGGGAGCCTCAGAGCTTATGTTATATAAAGCACTTTATCTTTGATCGTGTAACATCCCTTCTGCTGAGCTGGAATTTAAATGCCACTAACTCTTCAACACAGTTTTCAGTGTTTTCAACATCATCATGCCAAACAAAACATCAGCTCTCTAAAGTCCCCCTTATGAACCTCTCCTGACTACAGCCACAGGGATTTTGGTGAAGTCCCTGTTTGGATAGGCTTTACCTTTTTGTTATAAACTGATATAGGTCAGTTGTGGCTTATCGATCAAGTGGGTTTCTCCCTCAAACGTTTAATAAAAATGTTGCAAACATTAGAAATCAACAATCGTCATTTTACCTGCTATGTAGATTAATTCTACAATTTCCTGTTGGAAAAAGCCCTTTTTAACCTTTCAACGACCATTAAAATAGGGAGCATCCACTAAAAGCTTCAATTGAAAAAAATCAAGGTGGCTTAAATTGTCTGTCTCAGTTTTCTTGGTAAATTAAAGCAGAATTGAAAAAAAAATTCCATATATATGCTAGTTTACAACATACAAAGTATGTATTTGAACTATGTAATGGAGCCCAACACTTTCAGAACACTCGGTTTGCTCAGTTTTTCATTTCATGTGCTGTTTTCAACTTGACATGCAGAACTGTTGTTGTTTGAAGCTGCTGTGAGCGAGGAGAAACCCATTACTTCAGCCTTAAAATGCGCACGATTGAATTTACTCATCTGTTCACGTCAACGTTCAATGCATTTCTCATGTTAAAAACCGGGGACCTGCAGAGTCCTGATGAATGCATTCAGCCAAATAAATGTTCCAGTAAAAAGCTTGTGTTTCAATCCTTTCTGCATAACATCACCACTTCAATCACGAACAAAGTTCCAATAAAACCTTTTCATTTGGATATAATACCAATATTGTAGTTTTGAGTATTGGTCGATGCCAGCAAAGATACCTGACATCAGCATTAGACGTTCATACTTCATTTCTTTTGTTGTGTAAAACATTAGGCTAGACTTTATAATATTCAGAGAACAATGTTAACAATGAGTATGAGAAAAACTGACCCATTTAGCAGTGGTCATGTCCTTAGAACAAATTAAATTGGAGGTTTTCTATTTGCTTGCTTATATCAGAGGCTTCAAATGCAGGCCTTCATATTCTGATATATTTTGACTGAAATTAGACCCGAGTTCTAATATCCATTTTGGATCGCGATCCTTTTTCCCTAAATGTTATATAAAATGTGAGATTTCCTCCGCTCTACATAACACTTCTGCTTCTAATGTTTCTGCTTCCCCTCAGTCTCTAGCTTTTTGCATTCGGAATAAAGCATACAAAGAAATTATGTCACTTGTTCTTGACACAAAATAGAAATCGCATCAAGTTGTTTAAGTGCAGTATTGTTACTTTAATTTAGTAAGAGATATTTATGCATGAACTAAAATCAAGCGATCAGACAAATATTTAGTCAAATTGTGATTAAATATGCCAAGTTACTCTAAAGACACTATGAGCAGCAGCAGCTGTTACACTAAAAGAAAGTGCTGGTAAAAGGCATTTCTTTTTTTAGCTTAATCTCATGCAGGCGCCAATTTGTTCATTCAATATGGCAAAACGCTATTATGTACATTATTTTCCACAAAAGGAATTATGGACTAATATGGGTGTCTCCCTCTGGGCTTGAGAGCAGCCTCTTTTTCTGAAACTGAGACGCATTAAAAATCAAGGCCCTGTGGTCCAGATATCAGAATATATATATATTTTTTTTATAAAAGACGGTGGTTTTAACATAATTTCTTCTTTTTTTTTTTTTGAAGATCTTCACCAGACCATATTACAGTTAAGTTCGCAAACCTTAAAGGTATAGTGGAGGATTTATGCATATTTTTGAAAAGACCCGCCCTCTCCACTTTAAAAAAGAAAAAAAGCACATTCACAACCCTGTACCCACTCCCGAAAGCAGGGCCTCTGGAAGTAATTTTGAACAGGGGGTCCTGTGAAAATGTTTGTCTTTTTTGGACAAAAGACCTATGAGCCTATAGGCCTATTTAAAATATAATAAAAATAAATAAGTAAATTGATTGAGGTTCAGTACTATATTGTCATATTCACTTCAGTGCATAAAACCGGGGTCTGTAACACAAAGACATCAGTTCTAAGGTGAATATATATGCGCTATTAATTAAACTTCACAATAACACTATAAAAACATAGATTTGGTCAGCTGCCAAGAATTTGAGTCACTGTGTTTATGTCGCAGGATATATTATACTATTTACTTTTAATATAGGAAATATTATACTATGTAAACGTTATTGAACAGTTCTCCGCATCCATAAACAAAGAATAAAAGATCATGGTAACACTCTAAAATACTGTAGCTACGTTAAACTGCCCGAATAGATATGAAAGTGCGTGGCGGTACCATGGTCTTTGAGCTACAGGCAGGGTTCACATGGTCCAAATGTTGAGGTGCGCTCTGGGCTCGTGGAGATAAAGTCTCTCATAAGCAGACGAATTCGAAATGTGTTTCTGTGCCGTATTTCCTCCTCATTTCTGTCATTAACTGTAAATTTACTAGTCTGCTGCTACCACTGGTTGCTTGACGTTGCCATGACAACGTCACTTCCATGAACTTGTGTTGATTAGGGCCTCAAAATGATTAAATAAAAATCCAAATACATGTAATAAAAAAATAATTAAAAAAGTCAAAATAATTTCCTTAAATATAAGAAATTTATAAATCCTGCAAAGTATTTATAATAGAATTTTTTTTTAAATCTCCCTGTCACCACTACGGGGTGCTGCAGCACCCCCACTTCCTGCAGCCATGCCCTAGAGCAGCGGTCCCCAACCACCGGGCCGCGGACCGGTACCGGTCCGTCGGTCATTTGGTACCGGGCCACACAGAAAAAAGTATATATATATATATATATATAATTTATCGACAATCAGAGTGAGTGATGTTTTATTTTGAAAAATATAAAAAATTATTCTCTCCCAATTACATCAGTCGGCACATCTGTGCCTCTTGACACAGGTTAATTCAGTTCAAGACTCATCCTATCTATAACATCCTATCTTTGTGAAGCAGGATTTTCTGCGGTTACAGCGACCAAAACAAAGCTACGGAGCAGACTGGACATCAGGAGCACACTTTATGTGTCATTGTCTCCGATTACGCCTAGATGGGACTGACTTGTTGTTTTATTTTTATGCTGTTTGTATTTGATTTTATGCCAGTCGTATCATTTTACTTGATCGTATTTACCCCCCTCGGCCGGTCCGTGAAAATATTGTCTGACATATAGTGGTCCGTGGTGCAAAAAACGTTGGGGACCGCTGCCCTAGAGGGCACAAGACCATTTCTCCTCGTCCGCGCTCAGTTTAAATGTTGCTGTTTTCATTGCTCATACAAGCTTACTTTTCAAAAGAAGATTTGAAATTTTTCCACTATGTCAGACTCACCACCGGTAAGTGAAAATGGGGACGAGCACATAGGATGGCTTTACGTAAACATATCACCAGAATGATTGACAGTTAGGAGGACCACTTATTTTGATGATCCATCTGAAAAAAGAAATTCCTCCACTATACCGTTTAACCCATAAAATCCAATTGACAATTGGCCTTACATTTTTTTTATACTTTGCAAGCCTGCCACTAGCCAGGAGAAATACAGCAAAGATGAGAAAAGGTGTTTTTTAAACATGAACTCTATGCAGTCTGTACTCACTACCATCCCCACCATGAATCTTTGTGGCAGTATTATTCTATGGAGATGGCTTTCTTCAGTAGGGATAGAGATTCTGCTAAAAATGTCAACGCTAAAAGGGGGACATAGCCATTAACTAAGCAGAGCTGGTAGAGACTTGTAGCTGTGACCAGATTTGACACTTATGTCAGTTTTAAATTTAAACTTATGTCAGTCTAAATTGTATTTGCTGAGGGAAAAACAAAATGAATAAAATTAAAGACTGGTATTTTAATATGAGGAGAAGTAGATGTTAAAACCATGTGATAAAAGGATGAGCTTTTAATTAATAGCCAAAAAAAAAATGCTTTTAACTAAAGCCGTTGCTTCAACTTTTTTTCTCAATTTAGGAGCAATATCCAAAATATTCCTTGTTTTCTTTGTTCATTGCTGGTATTATAACCCCTGTTGGAGAGGTGAGATTAACCTTAAGCTCCTACCAGAACCTCGTTACCTGAAATGTGGCTCATATCTACCCTGTGATCTAGAGGTTAAGCTGTGACACAGAGGGGAACAATGAAACAGCGAAGGAACAAAGAGCCTCTGTTTCAGCTGAACCTGAAAAGAGACATCATTGTGCGTTCCCTTTGGCCAGAGTTGCTGACTGTGGAGAAACCTTTAGAACGGCCCCTCCGTTCTTCCCCATAGGTGATAACTGACTGATTGACTGTCTGGGTCTTTACTATGAAAGACTTCTGCGGTCATAAACTCAGGAAACCAGCTCCGGAGCACGAGGCCTGCAGAGAGAAACTTCCACACATCTACAGCAGAACTGGACTGAAAGAAGCAGGTCAGTGGTTTCTGACGGTCCCCAATGACGTCTATGGAGTTGCAATGTTATGCTAGTTCTTTAGAACTCATAAATAAAACATTTTTTAGTCTTCTTTAGCCATAAAACACAAAACTTATTGAAATGATTTTACATTTTTAGATAGGTGGACAGCTTGCGTTTAGACTCTGAAATATGTATTTGAAAAAGACGTGTAAACAATTAGAGAAACAATTAGGAAAAGAAAGTCAGATTAAAAAGACCCAACCCTTTCTTTATCATTGCCGGACTTTAAAAACAGAATAATGATATTTTGTTTATTATAGAAAGTTAAAATTTTGGCCTCCTTTTGCAAGCTTTTCACCCTAGTTTGCTAGAATTTTACCCCATTCCTCCTAAATGAATGGTTGTAATTGAATCAGATTAGAAAACAATTGATTCAGTTTCAACCATTCTATTATTGAAAATCTATTTGTGATGGCCACTTGAGAACACTGGCCTTGTTTTCCTTTAAAAGAAGCCTTTTATTAGTGTTGCTGTCTGTTTAGGGGACCCATTTGTGCCCAAGCTTTAACATTCTGGCTAAAATCTGTACTTTACCTTCATACTCTATATTTTTGATGCCATTTAATTTTTAAAGCCTACCACTTCCTTTAGCAGCAGCTTATGGTGTTCTTAGACTTGCATGTTTCTTCTTTTTTTATAATGCAATGGCATCTATTATCATGCTGAATCACCTCAGTTCATTCAGTTTATGATATCAAAACAAAATACCTTTTTAACTTGTTGCTTTTGGAGTATTGACTTATTTTTACTCATTCCTCCTCATTTTCCTGTTCAATGTTCCCAAGGTTCTTTGTTCTGGGTTTGATTCACACATTTCAATCTATCTGTCATCTCTGGGACACAAAACCCATCCATCCCTAAACAATGTAATGGCTGGAAATTCCCATGTTGTGCATGCTTGCATATAGGTGTTGGAAAGGAGAACTTGACACCTTTTATTTCAAGGTTAAACCAGACGTATGGAAAACCACAATTCTCCTCCTGATATGGTGACTGATTTCTTATGTTTTAATTTGAAATACATCGATTTGGATATTTGAAGTTGACTTCAGTTTGCAAAATAATTTTTTTTTCAAATTGTGCCAAAGTGCATTTAAGCTTATGTCTAATAGATAAATAATCTACAATCCATTTTGGTATTTAGAAAATAGAAATGATTTATGTATTTTTAACTTACCTGAAACAGAGAAGTTTAGTCTAAATTAAAATCAGACAAGGAGATAGAAAAACACTTTTCCTACTGTGTGTTTAAATATCTTATTTACATTACATAATATATCAAATTTCTTTAAAAACCACATTTTTATCTATTACTTTAGGATATCTGATTTATTTTGCTGTTTACTTCTGAAGTTTAGCTGAGCCTTTAAACACCTTAACCAGCTGATCAGAAGGAGACTGAGACACAACTGTTTTAGCGACTGTGGGAAGAGGATCACAAAGAGAGGCCGGACAATGATCGAGAGTGACAGAGAGCTGTCGGCCACGGTGCAGGAGATATGGGACAGCGACGTCAACCGACTCAAACCTGGAAAAGACTATAGGATTTCTCTACAGGTGCAGCAAATTCATGGCCATGTACAGTGAGAAAAATAACTATTTGAACACCCTGCTGTTTTGCAAGTTCTCACTTAAAAATAATGGAGGGGTCTGAAATTGTCATCGTAGGTGCATGTCCACTGTGATAATCTAAAAAAAATAAAAATCCAGAAATCCCAATTTATGATTTTTTATTTGTTTGTATGCTACAGCTGCAAATAAGTATTTCAACACCTGTCTATCAGCTTAAATTGTGACCCTTAAACATCTGTTAGCCTGCCTTCAAAATGTCTACCTCCGCTCCATTTATTATTCTAAATTAGATGCACCTGTTTGAGGTCGTTAGCTGCATAAATAGACTTGTCCACCCCATAAAATAACTTAGAATCCCACTACTTAAATGGCCAGACCAAAGAGCTGTGCAAAGACACTAGAGATAAAATTGTACACCTTTACAAGGCTGGAAAGGGCAACGGGGAAATTGCCAAGCGGTTAGGTGAAAAAAGGTTCACTGTTGGAGCAATCATTAGAAAACGGAGGAAGACCTAAAAAGAGCTGGGACCACCGTTTCCAAGGTTACTGTTGGTAATACACTGAGATGTCATGGTTTGAAATCATGCATGAAATCATGGCACAGTGTGTGCAAACCTGGAGAAAAACTAAAGGAAATGTTTGACCTCTGTAATTGCAAAATGTAAAAAAACAATTGTACAAAAACGGCTACTGTACATAATATTAAAATTCATCAAGTACTTATTTGCAGTTGTATCATACAAATAAATAGTTAAAAAATTATACACTGTCATTTCTGGATTTAGTTTTTTTTAAACTTTGTCTCTCACAGTGAACATGCACCTACGATGACTATTTCAGACCCCTCCATGATTTATTTCTAAGTTGGAGAACTTATTTTCCCCTGTAGGAAAATAAATCAGTCACTCATTTTTTATCATTTACAAATTGCTCTTTTTTTTCCCCCATCGGCATTAATACATAGTCTCAGTTTAAAAATTAATGATAAAAGATAGAAATCAGAGCCTCACTTTTTTTGTTAGTTTTATAACTTCATCAGTAAATATGCATCCATTTGGCTTCTTTCTGTGCTTTTTTGAAAAAAAAAAAAAAAAAGGAAACGATATGATAATTTCAGATGTTTTCAACTTTCTGCTACAGGGCAAAGCTGGAGACACAATGAGCTGCAACGACAGCAATGACGGAGCAGGACTTCCTCTGTTTACATTTGTTGATGAGAATATTTTCAAAAAGGAGACATTTTTCGGTCAGTGATTTTATTAAGTAAATCCTCTTTAATGTTTCCTCTATCAAAAAATAATGGCAGCACTTCCTGGAATATTCTGGATATTTTCAACTTAGCTTAGTTAAATAATTCCCAACCTTGAACTTTTTTGCTTTAAAATAATTGTAACTAGACAAACATCTTACTCCTCAGCGACACCAGCCGATCACAGAGCTTCCCGAGAACAGAATGGGACAGGCCAAATACATTAGCATTAGTGTGTTTTCAATTATATTTATACTTTTAAAAGCCACTTCTATCTCTCATGCATCTTTACCAAAAACATTCCCAGATGGCGATCCAATCATCCATTCTTGACCTTTTTGCTATAAAACATCAGAAGCTGCATCACATAGGCTCCTTGTGACAAACAGTGGTTCTTTTGCATAACCAACAATTCAGAAAATGATGTTCTACCTTCAGATCTCATATTTCCATTTTGTGCACACACTGTGTTTTAAAAGAAAACTGAAATATATTAAGAACAGAATTATGTTGCAGCTTCTGGAAACCCATGAATGGACAGATCATTAAGGGCCGAAAAGTACAATTTCATTTTCCTTTAAGAGCTTTAAACTTCATATAACATCCTATAATACATACTTACCCAAAAATAGATGACCTGTATTTGATTCCACAGCCTTCATCTCTCTTCTGGATAACTATGAAAGTGCCACTGGTGAGCCAGAAATTGTAACTCCTGAGGAACTGGCTGAGAACCACAGGTTTCTGGACGCCATCATTCAGACTCCCACTATGAAGGTACTGGCATTTATTTGCCTGTCTACAACTCCTTCTCTTTTTTTTGTTCTTTGAAATATCTCAACAGTTCTAAAGATGCCCTTGTAGGTGTTTAAATCAGTAGCCATGCTTGGTGATTAGAGTAGCTTCATCAAAAGCAGACCAAAACCTTTTCTGTCACATGAATCCCTAATACACAGATTTAAACAGAGGTTTAAATACAGTCATTGTAGGCGTGGTGAGCACAGGTTGGTCTTCTAACCTAAAAACATCCGCTAAGCAGAACCCCTTAATCTGAGCTAGATACAGGTTGGTGCCACTCCTAATGTCCTTGATGTTAGTGGGTTTTAACCAGTGGCGGATCTAGGGGGTGGCTACTTGGGCTACAGCCCCGGATGTTTTCCCAAGAGCCCCTGATCTAAGCTTCTGAGCTGATCTGAGTAAAATGTGCAGTACTGGAATTCACCAGAGAGTGGCAGCATGCAGAAGTGTTTCCCACTGGCTGCTGCCACTTTAGCCCAGCTCTGGTAAATAATGATCAAACGTCACCAAATCCACAGGATCTGTTGTTGATGAAGAGAGGAATAAACACAGTTAAAAACTTGCAGGTAAATTAATTTCTTCCCATGTTATGGAGGGGGGTACAGATTATTTCAGGCAGCTGAAATGTCCATTCTATCCTCCTCCTCCCATATTTTAGGAAATATGTGTGATAGCATGTTGTAATGCCTGAATTTCCTTAGTCCAGTAATCTGTCATATTTACATCAGAATGGGATTTACCAGAAAGTCTACACTCTCACCTTCACCCTCAGGGCTCAGCCCCTGACCTCCTAGAATCCTAGATCCGCCCCTGGTTTTAACCATTTAAAAAAAAAAACAGTTTTGATGTGTTTTTGGTGTATGTAACCTGTTGGCCAAGTTTTAGCTTTCTTCTCTTTGTTTGAGATAAATTTGAAGAATTGGGAAATTATTTTGTCTTTTTTTTATTTATCATCTTCATCCCTCTTTTTCTCTGATCTCTGCTCCTGTTCTCGTCCATAACCTCTTCAAGTCCCGCATTGATTACTGCCACTCCCTTCTTTTTGGTCTCCCTCAAAAAAAAACTCTATATAAGCTTCATTTGGTCCAGAATTCAGAGACTCGACTAATTACCAAAACCCTCTCATTTCATCATATTACTCCAGATTTACAGGAGCTAAACTTTCTTAAAATTTACTTAAAAGTCCTTCTGTTGACATTCAAGATCATCCATAATCTTGTTTCCCGATACCTCTCTAATCTCCTTCAGATAGCTACCACCTCCCGAGTTCTTATAATATGATGTTGAGAAGAATGATGTTTTGCATTGTTTATTATGTTTGTTGTGCAGTGCTTTGAAATGAAATGTATGATAATTATTATTGTTATGCACAAGAAGTCCTGGAAATGAAAAAGACAACAAAGCCTGATGCTACCATCACCATGCCTAACAACTGGTGCCGTGCTCTTTGGTTTAAAATCCTCTTGGCTCAAACATTTCTCCTATAACCGCCACAAAAAAAGCTTACCGGTAGTTTTTGTCACATCTTACTTAAAATTGTTTCTCCAGAGGGTATTTTTCTTGTCTGTAGCAAATTTTAGTTGAGCTTCAAGGTATAGCACAAATATTCACACTCACTTCGAAAACAAGGACTTAAAATGGATAAACCATGCTACTATAAAACGTCTGGAATTGCCCTCCCAACTAAGCTTTGCTAAAATGCCTTAACCAGGTTAGGAAGTTTTCCATTCTACATTAATTATATCAAATCTATCAGGTGGTTCATTGTAAATCTGGAACACAGTATACAGTTTATTCTTTCAACCTAAAAAAACTATTGAGTGCATTTTTTAAATCCTCAAATTAAGATAGTATCATGGCAAACTGATGGCATGCCTTTATCTGAAATTGTAGCTCGTTGTAATCAGGTGCAGGAGAACGAGACATAAATCAGGATGTAAGTAAAGAAAAAAAAGGACTAGACATTGAGTTTTCCCACATTTTGACAGATGACCAATGTTTCTCTATTTTATTGCTATTACCTGCAATGCCAATACAAAACAGCAGATAGCTGTTAGATGGAAAGATTCTTTATAAGCTCACCGTAAAATTGTATTTACCCCCCACTGCATTTAAACCCCTAAATAAAAGCCAGTGCAGCCAGCTGCCTTCAAAATCAGCAGATAAAAACCACTTAAAATGCATGCTGCACTTCTAGGATCTTTACCTCCCCTTTCCTTTACAATTCAGCATTACAGTCATTTTGGTCTGTCAAATATAATCCCAATACTATATATTCATGTTTATGATTCTAATGTGAAAAACTTCAATGGGAAACTTTAGTCGTGATATTGTTCTGATTCAATTTTAAATAAAAAAAGGTGTGTTCCTTTTGAGCTATATAAGCCCAGTTCATGTGATTATCAGCGATCAGTACGGGTCACTGTGATGACATGGCGGGACATTAAAGGGAAACTTGTGTTTTCTGCTTGAAGATAGCTCATAGATACCTGGTGGAGAAGCAGCTCTCTCCTCCAGATGAGTCAGAATTCAAGGAGCAACTCTACAGGATCTGGTTTGAACTCTATGCAAGGAGAGGATCCAACAGGTGGGTGGTTTCTGCCTCAAGCATCCAAATATAAACCCCACTGGAGGAATCTAGCATCTCACACAGAAAAGCACCAAAAACCAATGTGGCCCATTTTTTCATAACTGTGTATGTATTCCTTATAAATTATTTAAGTGAGACGGTACTCTGTTTAAACTTTGTTATAAAAAATTAGCTAAAAAAAAGATTGATCTGTAGGCAAACATTTTATTGGTCTGTCTGTGCTGTTCCTGCCTGCAGGCCAGACTCTTCAGGGTTTGAACATGTGTTTGTCGGTGAGACAAGAAGAGGACGGACTGTCATCGGTTTTCACAATTGGATCCAGCTGTACTTACAAGAAAAGCTAGGACACATTGATTACAAAGGTTACAGCGTCACGGCGCATTCTCCTCAGGTACAACAGGTTCTCATGTACCTGGTTAAATCTAAATCCACTGCTTGCTTAATTCAACTCGTCCCTTTTTCTATTCTGTTCCACACAGCCGGACGAGAACAAACACATCCTGGCTTTACAGTTCAGCTGGAAGAACGGCATAAAGCCTAAGGGCAGCATCTTCATCGGCGTCAGTCCTGAGTTTGAGTTCGCCCTTTACACCCTTTGTTTCCTCACCTCTCCAAATGAGCGCGTCAAAGTGCAGTTCAGTTTGTACGACGTGGAGATTGTCTGTTACCACTACAATCAAAAACACATCAGCACCACCTACCCTGTGCTGCTTAGATACAGGAATCCTCAGGCAGATTCAACTGGAAATCCATCTGAGGTATAAGCACACCAACAATTGAGCTTAAAAAGTCTCACCGGTAGCTGTGGATACTGCCTTTTTATTTTACACAAAGATACTATTAAAACTTTTAAGACCTATCTGCATTTTTTTTTTCTGTGCTATGATATATGCCTACTGCTTTGCGCAAATATTTATATTCCTTGAACTTGTTTTTCACCTTTCGTTATAATGGATGGGCAGTTAACAATCATATCAAATGTATTTTCTAAATAACAGAGATTGGGACCGAAATCATATGTTTCCTATGAAAAACAGGTAAACGCTGCTCTGTTAATAAACAAACAAAATCATTTCTCATTTACGCCTCGACAATTTTTGGCTCTTTGTATTGTATGTTTGTTCACACATGCTTCTGTCAGTTGACGAAAAAAACACGCTGGAAAACATGTTGTAACCTTCAATATGTCCAAAAACACCTGAATTACATATTTAAGGATAGAGGGGTTGAAATAAAAACTTAATATGATGAAAAACATAGAAATCTAAAGAAAAACAATTAAAATCCACAAGCGGCTACACTGCCCGCATCAACGTGCAGAAAATTTTGAATATACTTGTGGAGAAGTTTCAGATCCATTTAAAGGTATAGAGGAGGATTTTCTGAATTTTTTAAAAAGTCTCTCCACTATAAGAAAAAAATGCACCTGCGCAACGCTGTACCCGCTCCCGAGAAGGAATGGCTATTAGACACGTGCGAGAGGATACACGCTCTGTTTAAAAAAGCTGTTTGAATCGCTCATACAAGCTTACTTTCCAAAAAAAGATTTGCAATTTTTCCACAATGTCAGACTCACCACCAGTATGTGAAAATGGGGATGAGCACATAGGACGTCCTTATGTAAACATATCACCAGAATGATTGACACTTGAAGGACCACTTATTTTGAAGATCCACCTGGAAAAAAAACATCCTCCACTATACCTTTAAGGTAACTTTAAAATGTGACATTTTGACCATGAAATCGTTATTACTTACAGCCCTAGATGATTTATATGATCTGTAAATCAGATTAATTGAGCTATTTTTTTTCTTTTGCTTTATATGTAACCCTTTCTATTGTGATTCACTCGTATATTTTTCACTTCTCCATCTTCACCTTTGTTCTTCTTATTTATACATTTGAATTCATAGCCACCAAGTTCAAAAGCTGCTCCATGTGCAGTATCCATCAAAGTTTCAGATAGGCCTACAGTAATAATGTTGAATCGTTTTAGGAACTGTCTGTAACTATTAAAATAAAATAGAAATATTACAGAATAGAAACCTTTGTTGTCCCACAGAGGGGAAATTCAGGTTAGATGTTAGCAAAAACAAGTGGAAAAAAGAAGGCCTACAAATAAGCACAAAACTAAATACTGTGAAAGCAGCAAAAATTTTAAAGGGGAATCTGTATTGCAGAGGAGTAAAAAAGTTTGAATACAGCTTGTTAAATTGAATGATTTTGAGAATAACTTCTTTTGAGATTTTTTCTTGTGTCACTCATTTGTGTTATAACAGTAGGTTTTGTTTCTGGTTGGTAAAAAAGTTAATCTCTTGGTCAGTTTAGGTTCCAAAATCAGTTTGGCCTAAATTATGTTAGTTCCTGATGATCTTATATGTTTATCTATACTGTGCCATCACCATATGCAGATTTGGTTCCATTAAATGTGTCATTAGTGTTGTGTTGTATTTTATTTAGTACCCACAGCCTACTTACCAGCAGTACCTGGGAATCTTGTTGCATTTATTTTAATTTAGTCAACTTACGGTTGGGTGTCGATCTGCTCTGAGTAGTCTCCTTTTGCCTTAAATGCCTTGCTTTCTTGGTGAGGCAAACATTTTGATTGGTGATATATATATAGATTTGAATCCATGAACACAAACACAAAGCTAAGGACAATTTAGAGTCACCAATCTAACCTAACAGTCTTTTAGACTGTAGGAGGAAGCCAGACCCAGAAAGATCCCAGACATGCATGGGGAGAACATGCAGACAACATGCAGAAAGACCCTAGGCCAGGATTCAAACCCAGGAGCTTCTTGCTGCTTGGCAACAGTGCAACAAACTGAGCCAGAGGCAGTCCCTTACTATGTTTGAAATATTTTTTTCCTCAATGTGTAGTAAATCTATATACAATGACCGCTTCACTTTCATAGATATTGCAGTTTTATGCAATATATATATATATTTTCAATTACCTGTAGGTTAATGGGTATAAATGCTTTTGCAAGGTGCTCTAGATCAGTGAGTTCCTCTAGGCGATTTCTGTTTATGTTTGACAAACTGATGTCAGGCCTGTCCTAAACTTATTCATTTTATTTATTTCTTATATTTTTAATCAGGACAGAGCACATTAATGAACAATCTTATTCTCCTGTACAGATTGTAAATGAGCCAAAAATATAGTTGCTAATTTACATCTGTCGTCCTGAGGCAGGAAGACAAAACAACACAAGATCACATAATACAATATCAGTCAAAACACATAGACACACTTTCAAACAATGACATTACAACAATAAAATGAGTGGGTGCATGACTGGGAACTTTTATGAATTTTAGTAGCCATTATTCAATTTTTGGTCATAAATTACACCAGATAAAAGTTCCAAAAAAGTAAGAAAAAAAAATCCACTTTGTTTCCACCAGATACAGTACATTTTTTTTCTTCCATATAAGATTATTTTTTCTTTCAAATGGTCGTTCCAGTTTTCACCAGAAGGGGGAAGTAGAGAGTTTGTTGTGGTTTATTACGTCAATCATTTGCCGAGGCGGAATGTCCTTAATCAAGTTGGCAAAAGAAACGGACGCTGACAGGGTTGCATTTCAAAGTTAAAGTCGGTAAAAATTTGCTGAAAGTCGAATATAAAATAAAAAAATATATAAAAAGGGGAGTTAAACATAAAAAAATACCATCGTGTGTTTTTCAAATTGTCTAAACATATACATAATTTGGGTAACACTGCCATGGCTCTTCAATGCTAGCAGGAAGTGGAAGCTAATCCGTTTAGCGGTGTTGTAGCTTTACAGCATTAACAGCTTCCTTTAACCGAGGAGAAGCAGTTTTCCATTTTGTTGACTGTCGAATGTTTTAGTTTCACTGTTTTTAACATTCCTTTGCTGCGGTGGTTGTGTTGTATCTGTTGTTCGAAGAATGGCGGATTCTAGCGCCAGGTATCAGCAGGTATGTGACAACAAGGCCTCCTCTAAACCACCATCATTCTGTTAGCCTCTCACTGTTAGCCGCCTATAGACAGCCCCGTCTTACTATGTCGTTTTCTATAATATGGACGTTTGTCTGTATTAGGAACATATAAACTGGTTCTAAAAATATATCCGAGTCACTTCGTTGTGAGGTTTGTTATTGTTACCGATTTAAATTTGCTGAAATGAGGCTAACACAAACACAAGCTAATACGTAGACCTCAAACGCCGATTCGACACAGAAGTAAAAAGAGTTTAAAAGTATTATTAATGAACTTTATTCCGTAGTATCTTAGACTGTGAAGTATTTGAAATACTCAAACCAAACACAACATTTTTTTTTACAGCAAAAACATATTCGTTAAACTCATTAAAACACAAACAACAAAACGATTGAGTTTAAATACACTTTATGGAGTCTTTAATGAAGCTGTTATTTAAACAAGTAATTTTCGGTCTAGATTATTTTATTGTGGTTAAAAGTGCTCCTCATGTTTATCTGTTTAACCATGACTTAAAGTAAACTATGTTCTAGCATACATTTACAGGGCTGCCAACTTTTCATCAAACCTTGGGGTGAGATTTTGAAATAGTTTGGACAGGAAGCCCTGTCAGGGTTAGATGAGGACAGGTACAGCTATAGGTTGGAGGTTTTCAGAGGATTTAACTGAAGCAAAGTGGCAAAATTAGTATTTTTTTATAGAACAGTAAATGTTACTGACTAACAATAAGTGGTCTGTAGTTATGTGGAAGATTTTTCTCACAATATACATTATTTTCTACATTCTGGTGATTTTTGCAGAATCAAAGTAAAGCAGAATGGGCCCTACTAAAATACTTGCATCTTAAATATACTTTAAATTATATTTAAGTAAATTAAACAATTGGGAACTAATTAGCTATTATTGGTTTACTGGCATTGATACAGGAACCAGAGCAAGCGAAACCTTTGCAAACAACACTGTGTATGTATATTTGGTAAAAGGCTAAGTTTTTCTTACAATTGACAAAACGGCTAAACAATTTAGACCTTTTAGGTGGCTGTAGTTTTTATAAAATCTCATCATGACAGGAGACAGCACTTCTCTGGATGTTTCTGTTTGGAAGGTGTGATTTTAAAAATGTTCAATGGACCAAAATAAAGATAAATAAATAAGATTAGTAATGATAAAAGAAGAACATCTCTGTGGTTTCTCCTCTATGAATCCAGGATATCTGATTTATTCTGCACATCCTCTCTGAATGTGGTTGGTCTTTTCTTGGGTGACTGATCTTTTAAAAACAATGGTTTTATTTCTTTTTGTGGAGCTTCTATGGATTTGAGAGGCAAACCTGAAAGCTTTAAGAATTAACATATTTGTGTTGGTTTAATTGCTCCTAAATGCCAATGGGAGATTATTAAACTAGACTGAGCAATAATTATTTAACTTGTGAGCAAAACATGGGCTTAAACTAGGACTAAAAAAAGCAGCAGGTAAAGAGAAAACAAACCATTGGATGTGATCCTACACTCAGTCTCTACATCAATAATTTAAGCTAGCTGCTGTATTTTTTATTCATATTTACTCAAGTACTAGATTGCTTAAAATCTTTAATAATTTACAAAGTGAATTATCCTAGTCCAGATGGGATAGGATAAAAGTTAAACTAAAATAACTCATAACAACTGTCTTTTTTCAATATCTAACACAGTAAATAGGTGGGAATACGGACTGGATATGAACTTGGCATGTTCTCGTGTGTTAGCACTAAGGTTGTATTAAAAACACAGACTGGATTTTGATCACCATGGTATTTTTATACATAAATAGGTGGAACGGAGTTGAGTTTTAATGTCTGTCATTTTTAATGTGAGAAATTGGGAATATGGAGTGAGAGTGTGTGAAGACACTGAGATGGGTGAGTCTCACTCCCAGTGGGTGAGAGTTGACAGCCCTGCATTCATTATTTACCTTTCAATGTATTTGCAGTTCATGCAGATAGACATAAGAGTAGGAGATGCTTTAAAACGGACTGATGGGACTTTATAAGTTTTCTTTCTCTTGTCCTTTTCTTTTACCAATCTGTGTGTTTACTATTATAACCATCACAGGATAACTATCTTTAATAGTGATTTCTGGTGAAACATAAAGTAAGGTTTCACCATCATAGAAATGCATTTTATCTGTGTGACTCCAATTCTCATCCTCAGTTAGGACAAAATTCTACCTAAATATTTAAGAAATATTTAAAAAGCTGGTTTAGTTTTTTTTATGATACAATCATGCTTGCTTATGCTTTTGCTAATTAACACTCATGATGTCCATGTTTATATTTTGTGAGCTTTTCTTTCTTCTGTTATATTGTTGAAAACATGTCTGATTATTTAGAAATTTGACGTTATGTGAAAATAACTTAGCTCTGGATTTGGAATCATTTTATGCGTAAAGATCCCTATAGAAGAAGAGGGAGCAGCTAGGTTGAGAGCTTAATTTTGCATCTCCCTTCTCCAGCTGCCCAACGAGGAGGAGGACACGCAGGAGACTCCTCAGCTCGCTGCTGATGCTCCCCCTCCATACAGCAGCATTGCACTGGACAGTCCTGGTAATAATGTTACTCATTGGCTAAAAATCTCAGAAGCTCAAGTCATTAATTTCATCATATAGAATCTTCAGCAACCCCTCACATCAAGTATGCATGCAGCGACAGTGGAGAGGAAAAACTCCCTTTTTTCCCATTCTTTTTCAATGGCATTGGTAACATGATTCTTGGATATGTTTTACCAGTGAAACCTAAGTGAACACCCAGTATTCAGGAAAAGCAATGCTATTCATCTGTTTCTAACAGCATTGATTACTTTTCAGCATATTTAACAGAAAACACAGTTTTGTGTAAAAAATGAATAGGTATTGTTAGAGTAAATATGGATGCATAAAACTATGTAGTGTTTGTTTTTTGGATATCCCCAGACTTTACTGTGTTGATTTTATGTGGGGAAAAAATGCCTTTCAAGTCCTGCTCTTTGAAATAGAACAGTATAACATTCTTATTTATGTAACCGTTGCTTTATCTGCAGCCTACTTTGACCACAAGGAAGATGGGGTTTTCCCTAAGCCTCCATCCTACAACGTAGCAACGACGCTACCTTCCTATGACGAAGCAGAAAGAACTAAAGCCGAGACATCCTCTCCTCTGGTCGCAGCAAGAGTGAGTAGCTAGCTTTTTTTCCTTGTGTCATCTTCTTATCTGTAAACAGAACTCGCTCTCACATACACAGAGTTGGAGCGTGACTCCCCCTCCCAGACTCGTCCGGTGTTTTTCGTGTGGCAGGAAGTGTACAGCGGCCTTTTAGGAGATGTTTTTTGTGTTCCTTTCATATCTGATGGCATCTCTGGTGTAACTAAAGCCCTTTCACAAGAATGGAAGTTGCTCAAAAACTAAACTGAAAGGAAAGATCTTTAAAAAAATATATTATCAGTGTCTCTAAGTAATTTAAAATAAAGTAATTTCAGTAGAAATATTAGTTTGATGTTCTGTTTTTAATTCAGTTTATTTATATAGAACCAATCCACAACTCATGTCATCTCAAGAAGCTTGATAGGGACTATTAAACCAGATCATACAGTCAGATTGGTTCAATGTTTTCTATCTAAGCAAAAAACTAGCTCATTATATAGACTGTACAGCAATCCCTCACACCAAGCATGCATGCAACGACAGTGGAAAGGAAAAACTCCCTTTTTTGCAAGAGGAAAGCTCCAGCAGTGCGAGAGCATTCTCCTGCCGAGGCTGACTGGGGTTCAATGAGACAGATATAGACATACGAAAGGAACTTGGAAGCACTGATCTATAAATAGATTCTGTCAGAAAAGGTAATGGTAAAGTAGCTCCACAAGGGGCTCCGATTGGGAAAGAAACAGCTGAGCAGATGAGCTCTGAACCAATTTTCATATCAAAGATGAAAGAGAACGCATCCAGTTAGTAAAAGCTGAACCCATAGCTATGTCAAGGAGAGGAACAGGACTAAACACTTGAAAACAACTGATGCTTCCTCCAGGATTATGTCACAACCAAAAATAAACGGTTACTATGACAGGAAAGGCAGAGATAACATAAAGTTAAAGGTTGACCTAACAAATACTGCAAAATGGGAGAATAGAGATCAAATGAAACAGAATGATGAAAAGGGGTCCCTATGTCTTCCAGCAGTCTAAGCCTTTAGTAGCATAACTATGGAGATATTTCAGCATAACGTGGCCCACTCTAAGTATAAGCTAGCTTAAAAATAGACAGGGTGTCTTCCTCACGGACTAAAACTGATAGTTAGTTCCACAGGAGAGGAGCCTGATAACTAATGGCTCTGATTATTTTTTTTTAAACTAGTTCTGTATTTGGTCATTTTTCATTGTTTTAGGTATAAGACACATTTTCCGTCTGAACAGAAAATCGTGTCAGACGAGGTCGTGGCGTTTAGCACTCATTGAAAATAAATGGGGATGATCACACCCTACACGGTTTTACACATGTGGGATTGTTTCGGTGCGACTGAGATAGACCCCAGGTCTATGTTAGTCAGATTGCGCAGTAATTCAGCGGCACTTTCACGGGTGTGACAGGAAGAGAGACACGGTTACAATTACTAACATTAGAGATGGCGTAACTGCTGGTGCACTGATGAGGCACCATGATGATGCAGATTAACCGCATGACTTGTGATTTAATCTGTTCCTCTTTCACTGGTTCTTTTGGTTGTGTTTCTCTGCCACTCTTTGCGACAGCAGCCTCATCACAGAGAACGCCTGGAGACTTTTGACGATATTATTCCTGGTTCATTGGAGGTAACTTGTAGCAGTGAGCTGATGTAGTTTTAGTTTGTGGTGTGAAAAACAGAAATGCCCCGACATCGTCTTACGTTATCAGTATCCCACTGTGTGTTTGTAAAGTGTTAGTGATTCCTGAGTCAGCTTTAAGAGGAGATCCTCTGAATCTGCTGAGTTTAAGGGTCATTGTTCTCATGATGAATTTAGGGCTCCTGTGTTGTGATGTCTCCATTCGTCTAACAAGTCTGTCAGATCACCTTTTTTTTATTCTTTAAAGTTTGTTTTCTTTAGTAGCTGATTTTTCTAGATAAACCCAAAATTGGAAGTATAAGTTGTCTGAAAGTACACCACCTTGTAAAAGTATTTACACCCCTTAACATTTGGACATTTAGCTACTTCTGCGCTCTTCTTTATTATTTTGAAGCCATTCTTTTTTTCAGGTTTATTTAGTATTTTTCTGTCCTTATCTCAATCATGTTTCTTTTTTAGTTCCTTACTTAATTATTATAAACCAATTCATGTTCAATGTGAGGTAGAATGTAGGAAAAATACACAAACTGTCTTTTTAACCTGATAAAACATCAGAGTTAAGGAGCTGTGAACACTTTTGCAGGGTACGCTAATAGTCAGGTTAGCCAAGTCCAGCTTCTGTGATATCTCTTCAGGCATTAATGCTTTCTGGGATTTAATCTGTTGCAGGACGAGGACTTTGTCACCAGAGATGACTTTGATGACGCCGATCAACTCAGAATAGGAAATGACGGCATCTTTATGCTCACATTCTTCAGTTAGTTCATCATTGTTTAACAATAAATGACTTCTATGGTTTCAATTTGTGAGCCTCAAGCCCAAAACTCCTTCATTTTTTTCTCCGTTTCCCCCTTTGCAGTGGCTTTCCTGTTCAACTGGATCGGCTTCTTCTTGTCTTTCTGCTTGACCACTTCGGCTGCTGGACGCTACGGTGCAATCTCCGGCTTCGGACTCTCCCTCATCAAATGGATTCTCATCGTCAGGGTAAGAGAAATAAAACCGATTACCTTGCTGCACAGTCAAATGGGGCTTTGTTGATACACAAGTCATAATAAAACCTTCAAAAGCCTTAAAAGCTCTGGTATTTCAGAGCAATTTCTCTGTAGTGGTCAGCCTGTTTGTGCTGTGCAAGAATCTCTTCAGGACCACCCTCCTTTCTTCAGTTGTTTATTTTAATCGAACCATTGAAGTCACATTTAATCTAAAGTTATCTGCGTCTGTCTTTATTGGGTTTTAGTTCTCCGCATACTTCCCGGGTTACTTTGATGGACAGTACTGGCTGTGGTGGGTGTTTCTGGTAATGGGTAAGTAGCATTTCCATAAATCACTTTATCTCATGAGGCCTATTGCAGCAGGTCTGTAAAGTAAAAAAAAACAGAGCAGAACTCTAGTTGAATAACTTTATTTCAGACAATTCCATAAAAATACAAATTTAACGCTAACATATGATAATCTATTTGTATCTAAATGTAATGTATTGCTTATATTTGGAAAAGGTTGTGAAGAAGAAAATTTTAAGGTGTCTTGTTTTTTAAAAGTTGCACTCTAATTTGTACACTGTGAACTTTACAGTGAAGAAATTTGGAATTATTTTGTAATCTATGAAAAATAAACAAAACAAAAAGATATAGCTTAAGATCCAAGTTACTAGTTATTAAATACCAACTCCAGTATCATTTAAATTAATCACAGGTGTCAAAGTGGTTCCAGAAAGGGCTGAGTGGTTGCAGGTTTACTTTCCAATCAAACAATAGCACACCAGACTCCATTCCTAACATCAAGTCGTCATCTTCAGATTGGACTCCCTTGATGCAATTGCTTGGTTTGAAAGAAAACCTTCAGCCACCCGGCTCTTTCTGGAACCACTTTGGCTACGTTCACACTGCAGCCTGAAGTGACCCAAATCTGATTTTTTTTTGTCCATATGTGACCTGGATCTAATCTTTTCATGGCAGTCTGAACAACACAGATCCAATTTTTTCACATGCGGCCCAGGCCACTTGGCTATGTGGTCCTGAATCCGATCTTAATCTGATCTTTTTAAATGCGACTTGTGTCTGAACTGCTAGGTCGCATCTATCCGACCTGAACGCCATTAATACCTGACAAAGGTCACTATTCTGGGTCTTACTATGAAGAACTGGCAAGAAAACAACAACCATTATACAACCAAGATTATATAAGGGCATTCAGCAATGTACACAAGTCAGCACAGAAGGTATAAAGAAGAGGTGGGAAAAGGAGAGAAATATGGTTATCTCACCTGACAGTTGGACCAATATATGTCAATTTCAGTGGACAATAACAGGGTCGAATACATGGCGAGAGTTCAGTTGAAAGAACATGATCAGGTACTTTATCACGCCTATCCAGAAATGTCATCAAGGTGGTAATGAAGCATGTTGGAGACTGTGGGGGACACTGGTGCCAACCACTTCTATATTTTTTGGGATTGTCACATTATAATTAATTATTGGACACAGATAGGTCAACATGTTAATAATGTATTTGGTACTAAAATTCCCCTTAAATGTGAAACACTGTATTTGGGTGATGTTCCTGTGACAAATAGGAATAACAATGATAAAAGATTACTTGGTATGTTACTTATTGCAAGCAAAAAGGCCATCATAAGAAAGTGGCTGAGAGTGGAACCTCCAACTATTGAGGATTGGATCAATATAATACACGAAATATATGTCATGGAAAAGTTGTCTTTTTCCCTCAGGATGCAAAAGGACATGTTTTACAAAATTTGGACTAAATGGACTGAGTACATAAAACCCTTAAGGTCAGATTTTGTATGAATGATACGTTTCTTTACTTAAAACCTTGTCTTGCGAATATTGGCATACTTCCCATATATGTTTATGTTTGTGTTTATATATATATATGTATAAACGTAAAAAAAAAGAAAAGAAAACAACAACCATGGCGGACGAGGATGCGTAGAGCAGTATTTATGTTTAACCATCTTGAAAAGATTGTGTTTTTATGGTTGGGAAAGATTGCTAGATGTGCTCCGGCACTACCATCCATGTTTACTTTCGGAAAAAAAGAGCACACTGGCCTGTGACGTCATTGCGTCCTCTACTGCGCATGTGGGACACTTGCGTTGCATGACTGCAGTTCACACAGGAGATCACATACAAGTCGCATATATTTGGAAATATGAACGGCAACGCAAAAAAAATAAAAAATAAATAAGATTTCACAAAAACATTGGAATTGAGTATCAAGGCCTGCAGTGTGAACGTAGCCTTAGACACCCCTGAAATAAAGTCTGTATTCCATTCAAAAATACTTTACTAATCCCAAAGGGAAATGATCATTATTAAAGGTATTATTATTTTTTGATTATTTGGAAAATAAGAACTCTAAACTCAAAGTAATAGTTGGACTGGAAAGGAAATAAACTAAATAAAGGCTCTTTTCAGTATTCAGTAAACGAGCATCAAATAATCCCTCAGTAATGAGGGCTATAATGTTTCCATGTGACATACAAATCAATCATATCACTGCAGGAAAGGATTAACAGGTTTTAACCATTTGGTAAATCTTTAACAGTAAAACCATTAAATGGACAGTTATTCTAACATGCTGCACTAATTCCATTTCTAATAACAGCTACTTTGAAACATTGAATTATATCATTTTAAATGTAATATTTATTTTAATGGTCGTATTGTTCCTCTTTTTTTGTTTTCTCTTTAGGTCTCTTGCTCTTCCTCCGTGGATTCATCAATTACGTAAGAATCCGCAAGATGGCAGACACTTTCTCCACTCTTCCCCGCACCCGAGTCCTGTTCATCTACTGAGCCCCAAAACCAAACTCTTTATATTTCAACATTCTTTTTACTCTGAGTCAAAAAGTGCATTTTCATTTTCTCATCCAAAGTTTGATCTATTGGACATTAATCTCCCCTTTTTAGTGTAAAACAATGAAAAGAGAAATCTCTACAGCACTGAAATTTTAAGCTGTGAACTGCAAGATGCTTTCTTTAGTTGTGATGTTTTTAAATGAAAAAGGCATTCATTTAAAAATGTCACAACTAGGAAAGCGTCTCTCAGTTCACCGCTGCCCCCTGGTGGATAAAAGGGAGAGCAGTACGCAAAAATAGTAAGGTTTTATTTTTGTCTACTGTTCTCCCTTTTATCCACCAGGTGGTAGCATTGTACACTTTATTTTTCTAAAATCAATTTCTCACCATTGCAGAAGAGGTCGATTCTCAGCCCAGGGTTCTGTGAGTAATTCTGGGGGTCTGGATTAATTTAGGCAAAATTATGCATTTCAGTATCATGTGCTAATAAATTCTCTGACCAATGCAGTTTTTTGCTTATTAGATATAAATAATGCAGTTGATGTAAAGGGAATGTTTTATTGAAGATTTAGTTTTTCAGAATCAACCTTAACAGCCAACTTGGACTTCAGTTTTCAGTCAGTCACATCATAATCAGCCGCACAGATAACGGTCACACTATGTAGCCCCGCCCCATTAAAAAACCCAATCAAACAAGAAACATAAAAAAATTCAGCGTTAGTGTGGATTTCTATTTTATTTTTGTGGGTTCAGCTACTAAGAGGACCTTTAAAAATGAGGCCAGGGGCCACATTTTTTGATCATAATAAAACATTTTTTGTAATCATGCATTTACTAATTGTCCATATACTTGGTATTATCACATGATTTTGTTTGCTTGTTTTGTACCTGCCGAGATGTTTAAGTTGATAACAGAGAAAGCTTTTGGATATGTTTATAATTGTTCTCTGGATTTAGATGTGCAATGTAACATTTTAGGCTAATAAATAATTCCAACACCTTAAAATAATCATTGATGTCCTTAATGCTTGATTAGCAGTGGAACTTTTTAAGAAGCACTGTGGTTCTGCCAGTTATTTTAGGATAAATTCTGCAATTTTTGTCCATTTGTAGCAATGAGTTCTTTTTTTCCCTGTAGGATTCCTTATGGATACAAATGTAAGATTGAATCTGGAATGGAATTGCCTTGAATCATGCTTGGTGTGGAAGATCTATAAGGTTTTCCTGTGTAATCTTGTTTTTTTTTTTAATTCTTTCTTGACTTGATGTCCTTCTACCTAAAGCACTAACCCTTGATGTCCCTCCATCCCCCTTTGTGTCCCATAATCCTCCCTGACCTATATTTTCTGTTTCTGTATATTTTCTATTTATTCTTTTCCCTTTATCCTACTTCTTTCTGTGTTTCTTGTCTTCTGTTTGGTCATCATTTTGTTGCTTTTGACCTTCCTTATTTCTGCAATCTTTGTCTCCTTCCCCCTTTCCTTCCTCCTTGTTCCCTTGTCTCCCCCAAGTCTCCTTCCTACCTGCCTGCCTCTTCTCAAACTTCCTACCACAAAAATCCTCTGGAACCTATGTGCTTGATATATCATAAAAAACAGGGAAACAAGGAAACATAAGTTTGAAAAAGTAGGACAATCTTACATGAATATGTGAACTACAGAAGGAGACTTTAAAAAGGTTTAAATCTAACAGACTCTTGATACGTGCTAAATTTAACACAGGAGGCATGTGGTTGCCAGAGTGGAGATGATTTACTGCCAGCGGCTGCTAATTACACATGTCAGCTGGGTTTTTCTGTGCAGATGGAACAGGAAGCAAAGGTCGCCCCACCTGGAGGAAATGTTGCACCAGCTGAAACAGACGGTTGTTCTGTAAAAATGGAAACTTTTTATATCCCAGTGAGAAACTTTTACCATATCAACTCCTCCATTGATCACCAAGTTTATTGCCAAGTAGGTTTGCACTTACAAGGAATTTGACTTGGTGTTGATGGTGCAGAAACATTAGATATGTACAGAATCTATAGCTATATACGGTATAAAACCTTCAATGTTCTATATATAATATACAGTATATATAGTATAAAGTGGGCTTGTATGAGCGATGCAAGCAGCAACTTTTAACCCTCTCCAGGCAGATGTTGCAGATTTGCAACAGCTAAATGCCACTTAGCTAATTACTCCACATCTATATTTTAAGAGCTTTTGTTACTCAGGAGTACCACAGAAGGACTTAGTTGTGCATTTGCAACAAACAGTTTCTCTCCAGCTCACCAGATAGCACTGCTGACTCACTTTCAACATGGCTGAGTCCTTGGTGTCACTGAAACAGATTTTCTAAGCACCAATTTCATGTAAGTATCACTAACAATTTCCATTATTTTGAAATCATTACTACATAAGATGAATCATGAATGAGTATAGATGTGACACATGCAAATTAGTAGATTTTTATCTCCTCTGAGTTTTTGACCAGAGGCATCTTGATTTCATTGTTGTGGATTTGCAACGTGTGCCCAAACAGGTACCAATGGATGCTACATGCTTTATCTACTAGTTTGCCTATATTTTGAGCAACAGTTTACCAGAAACGGCCTTCTCAAGAGGTTTTGAGATGTCGGTGGAGAAAAAGTTTAAGAAAAAGTTGTCTCTAATTTTGTGGGAGAATTTTTACGAATTTTGTTTTGTTAATTTTTTTGTTTGTGAAATTCAAATAAAGTTAACGTTCATATCAGATTCAGTCTTCAGTGTTAATTTACCACTCCGGGCCACTGTTGCAAATCTGCAACATCCCAGAATTCATTGCATGTGAAGGTCTCTCTAAAAAAAATAGTCTGAATTGTATATTACTACCCAATATGATAATTTTCTCCAAATATCAGAGTTTTCCTGCAACTACAACTTAATTTGAGCCTGAGAGGGTTAAACAGAGTGTGCACCAGGAGAAATGGGCTCCCGCACGCTCTTGCACACTTTTAACAGGTGTTCCATCTTGGGAGCGGGTACAGGGTTGTGCATGTGCATTTGTTTAAGTGGAGAGGGCGGGTCTTTTCAAAAATGTGCGAAAATTCTCCACTATACCGTTAACTGTAACCACACCCAATATATATCTATATCTATATATAGATATAGATAGATAGATATAGCACATATAGATATAGATATATATATATATCTATATATATATATATATATAGATATATATATAAAGAAGTCCACCTGTTGTAAACTCAGCTGACTGGAAAGGCACACATCTCTCTATAAGGTCAACCTCACAGCTGGTATTAAGAGAATGGGTGAAACAGCCAAAGGCAGGCCTGCAACAAAATAATGAAGTAAGGCTGTGAATACTTAAGAGTTTTTGTATATTTAAAAAAATTTGCAAAGTTTTTCATTTTTCCTGTGATCATGGTGCACTGTGTGTAGTTGATAGTTGATAAATGTAAACCCATTAGGAACTGGCCTATTTTATGATACAGTGTTGGTATAAATCAAGTGCTGTACAGATGAGCAATAGAAAAATGTCTTTAGTATTTTAAAATACTATGTTATGGTGACTCATACAATTATGGGAGAGATTTTGATACATGTCAAGAGGAGAGTTATCCATGAAAGGTCATCAATGAAGTATATTATAAAGAATGGAAAGTAGTGGAAAGAAAAAGTCTAGCAGGAAAAGTTGCACTAACAACATGGATTGCTGCAACCTTGTGATGTTTAGTCAAACATTTCTGAAAAGGTAAATACCTGCTTTATCACCATGATCATTATATTCCTAAGATTGGTTAGCCAGAACACTGGTCTGACTTAAACCACATAAAAAGTATTATAAACTGGAAGATAACTAAGATTATGATGCAGACGGGTTAAATGTCGCTATTAAAACAACTTTCTAACACCTCAGCAAAGCCACAGGCTGATCACCTCCATCACACACCCTGCTGTTTCCGTTATTCATGCAGAAGAAGCTCCAGAACAATTTTTGATGTATTGATCTCTATTAGTCAACTGACATCAGGATTGAAAATGTTTTTTTTTTTGGTGTTTAATATATGTTTATTTTGAGAAACTAAATTCAGGATTTTATTAGCTGTAAGCCATAATAATAATCGTATTTCACCAAAATTAATATTTGCAATATGTCCGCGTGTAATGAATCCATATAATTTGTTTTCTTCACTTTAAGTCAGAGTTCTTCAACAGGGGGTTCGTGACCCCTAGGGGATCCACAGAGGTACTGCATGGGGCTCGCAAATGTTTTGGTTGATTAGACTTTTTTTTTATTTCCCCCCTGCAATTTTTTCCTTTAATTGAAATGTCTTTAAATACACATTAACATGAATTTAAGAAACTGTCGTAAATAGATAAATGGAGGCAGAAGATGTCTTTCAGTCAGCAATGCACACATTCAGCGACACCCAGGAGCTCTTTCAACCTGGGCACCGTTTCATTCACAACACCTGTCCCATCAATGAGGAATCAGAATCAGAAATACTTTAATAAACCCAGAGCGAAATTACTTTTGTTACATTACTACTCCATCTGTATTAGAGTGGCTAGTGCACTGTATTAAAGTGACTTCATACTATATATATATATACAATTAGGGGGTCCCCCCCTCCATCTCGCCATCAGTTTGGGGGTCCTTGGCTTTGAAAATGTTGAAGACCATTTTGATGGTATTTTCACCTTTAAAATTAAATTACCAGCTTCTTAACTAAATGATGCAATGACAAAACTAATTAGAGATTTTATGATAGATATGAATGTAACATATTTATGAAGAATTGACAGGTGAAATGTTGTGTAAATAATCCTTCTGTTCATTTGGTTGCTGCCAGAAGGAAGATCTAGTTGCAGCAAGTTTTACCGCCACCTAAATAGCCTGCAGGGTAGAGGGAAAAGAGAAAAGACAAAGGTTACCAGAAAGACCTTCAACACTGGTCCAATGAAACACCGCGTCACCAGATGACCCCGGATAAACAAACTTCTCTTTGCCAGG